TTATTATTATTATTATTTGTGTGGGATTATGTAAGCTAATATTGCTTATCTATGTAAAATAACAAAGCACGGGTCAAATACTAGTTAACAATATAATGGCGTAAAAAGGTAAAAAGTGAAAAGTGAAAAGTGAACAAGACAAGAGTTTGAATAGGTCTAGGGTGTTGGTTATGTGAATTTTAGGTAAAAATGAGGAATACCGCAGCAAAAAAAAAATTAATCAATGCCATTTTAAAATGAACAGTAATATAAACCAAAATAGAAAAAATAGTAACTTTTCTCGTTCATGGAGATGCTGTGTTGATTTATTGAGATGCCAAGATAGAAAATTCCCGTATTCGTTGAGACTCGGTACTGATAAGTCAAACTAAAATATACCTGCAAAACAATGCTAGGAAATTCTCGATTTTTAATTTTATTATTATTATTTTTAATTTTTTTTTTTGGTTTCTTTTCTTTTCTCTTTCTTTCTTTCTTTTTTTTTCTTTTTTATTTTGTCTAACAAAATTAAATTAACCACAATATAAATGAACAGGGCACAACCCTAGCCCAAATCACAAACTAGGCTATATAACATAATGGAGGTCCAACACCGTGAAGCAAATCAAGTCTGTAGCGATTGGGCTGCCGATTTTCTATGACAATTAGCGTCAATCGGAGGTGGAATACTCGATTGGCGACTCCTACAGTGGACTTTAAGTAATGGTTCATATTATTGTTGGAGTTCGCGAGTTTAAAGTAGCAATTTGCAGCTATTTGTGGAAGAGAAAGATCGTTTGAGCAACTGCGTATAGGTCGCAGTGAGGAGGTGGCGTTTTGACAGTGGTAGTGTATATGTGCAGGCAATGAAACTTGAGTCGCGGTGTGGTCGATTTTGTTGGCGCGAGATGGTGGTTGAACTGATGGGTTGTGCAAGAAATAATCAGACGAATGTTGGGTCAAGCCTATTGTATTATTAGAGCGGGCAATGGTGTTGGTTACTAGATAATGGATTTGGTGGCTTATTTATTTGTGTGGCTTATTGAAAGGTATTGGCTAATTACTTTTTGCAGGAGATTACTCTATAGTTTGTAAAGGGTTGGGGGATTTAATGATTGTGGGTGGTTATTTTGTGAGTGGATGTTGTGGTGGTTTTAGGTAATGGATTGCTTGGATGAAGACATGGGGGTGCAGCCGAGTCAGGTTTGATACTGTGACGGTTAATGATGGGTAGCAGAAGTATTGGTTTCGCATGTGGTGGAATTGGTTGGTTCTCTAATTACGGTTGCAGCACTAGTGGCGAGAAAGGAGTTGCAGCAACGTTTGATGGATTTACCTGGTTGTGTGTGTGGAATGGATGAAGAAATATGACCAAGGTTTAGCTTTGATGTCAAGTTGATGTAGAATCAAAGGGATTTCAGCAATTAAACAATAACCAGCAGAAAATAGGCAAAGGATTAAGAAGAAATAGGCAACAAGAAGGGGGAGAACTGGAGAGAATGGGGGGAGAAGACCGGAGGAAAAGAGAACAAGAGGGGAAGGCAGGAGAAAGCAAAGCTAATTCTCATTCAATTCATCATGTTCATCATCTCCTTAAAATTACATTACCAAGTCTTACAAATAGAGAAATCAATAAATCTAAAAAGTAAGTGGGCTTGGGCCAAACTCAATAATAAAAGCCCTATGAAATAAAACAATAATAAATGATCCACAAGAAAATAAGCTAGTCCAAACAAGTGATGTCCTCCTCATGAAGGATATGGTTGGTCTGTAAGCATTAAATACATTCTTGCCATGCCAAGTTCCGACCAAAAACTCATGCTAAACTGATTTCACAAGTGGGGAGTGATTCATATCTTGGATTAGATACTTCTTTATAGGGGTATAACAGGGGTCGATCAACCGACCGTCCATAAAATCCTGTTTAATGAACCCAAAACTCTAATATAACGTGTTCGATATGCAATATTAGATACAAGACGTTATAATGTATAATTCTTTACTTTTCGTCCTTCACACTGTCTATAGCCAAAGCAGGCAAAAATTAATTGGGAGCGCAGCCCAAGAGTTTGTGGGAAGTGTGAGTATCGATTGGGTCTATGACTCCATGTATCATCTCATTACCGAGTACTCAAAGCAGCAAGATTTCAAGCTCATTTGAAAATCCAATGCTTTAGCAGTATGTGTCAATTCTATCTTCTGCTTCTCCAATGAAACCAGAGGCGATTTCTTGAAAGGTCGTTTACCTTTCTCTCGTCAGCTCCGTCGTGCTCACTTCCGCCGCCTCAGTCGAGGGAGGGAGGGAAAAATATTACTATTTTAGTAGATACATCACTGAGATTAGTTAAAATAGATGAGCCGAAATAGTTTAGAAGATTTGAATTTTGTGGATGTTGGCAAGCTGTATTGGTCTACACTCCACAAAGAATTGACTTTTTTTTGTTCCTCAATCATGTTCAGGATTATTTACCCTGTTCGATATACTTTATTTCAAAACTCCTTTTTATACATACTCATTTTCAACCACACATTCGTATAATAAAATATTCTACACATAAACCCAAAATTTTTCCATAATTTTTAGCCATAGATTCTCTAAAAATTCATGATTCGAAGCTTTGTTTTGACAAATAATGGACATCAAACAAGTTAGGAATACATGTTTGACATATCAGTACATTAAAACTCGCGTAAGTGTAAAAAATGTGCATATAGAAGACAACTCCTCTCGGATGCCATTCCATACAGAACCTAGACAGCTTCCGACAACTCTCGGACGCCATTTCTATGTGCTCATATCCCTATTTCAGACTCGTCAGCTAAAACTACATTATTGCATTAGTAAAAAGAATACATTAATCGACCATACTTTGTATATGTTCAAGTTCATCCATCACTGGATTTTCTTGAGGCATTACTTTCGTACTAATACTCGTGAAAGAAGCTAGTTTGAGCTTAGTCAAACATGCTGTAAATTGTTATAGCACATATATATCCCGAAAGAGGAAAAATGACAAATGAGATACACTCAAATTTACAGTGGTTCACCCTTGAACAACCTGCATCCTCGAACCGTTCACTAAATTTCAGTAGCAACAACAAAAAAGCCATCCAAACATCACCCATTAACGTACATCATGTGGAAGAAATACAATTTATGACAGTAGCAATAGTAGGCTTCAAATGACAATTATAAAAGACGAAAGAGACACTTTTGCAAAATCACTCTGGCAAAATGTTTCCCAATATAGGCAGATTTTGCGGAGGATCTATAACTAGAACACTCCATATATCCATAAGTAAGTCATTTAATTCATGTCTACCGAGGAAAGTTGAGTAGAAACCTTAATTTGTTCTGCAAATTAAGAGATTATAGCTTTTTCAAAACCAAATCAAAATGCGTACAGAAATAAGAGAGAGAGAGTTATTCGAGTGGATGCGGTACAGATGCAATTCTAAAGGTTCAAGTAAAGCACAAATTGAGTAGGGAGAAAAGTAAGTAATTCACACTGAAATTACAGTTGTTCAATCCTTTAAGATCTACATACGTTAATAAAGGTTTTTCCTTTAGCTTTTGAATAGTAGCATTCAACAAAAACCCCATGCAAAGCCCAGTCAGTAAGGGGACCCAGGCTTCAGGACACATCGCATTTCCATTTGGGTCGAGACTGCCACAGAGCCTAAGACAGATCAAAGAATAGAGGGGAATCTCCCTCTAGTGTTTGGAAGGATGTCACCTCAAGAAATATGAGTGGCTTAACATTGTTAAGATAGCTTTGTAAATGTATTTGAGAAGACTAATAAAAATGAAGATCTCATACAGCATATATATAAGAAATCTATGTCAATGATGTACACTACAAGGCCTTTTCCAAAAAATAATTGAGATGAAACATAGCCTTTTCCAAAAAATAATTGAGATGAAACATTGTTTTTAACTATTGTTCTCACACTTTAAAACACCAAGAATTTCACCACAGTAATACAAAACTCTTAATATAGACAAATAACCCAGATCTAGCCATTAAGATTGCTCCTGTTTTACACTGTATATTTCCACGTAATTCAGTTGGGAAGTTTTCCAAGGATTGTAAAAAGAGTTAGCTAAATTTAAAAAATTAGAAGAAAATAGTTTTAAAACTTCGAAACTAGCATCTCAACCCATTTCAAAAATAAGAGCTTAATTTTAAAAGGCATGAGTAAAAAGCAACGAAAGCACCTATCACAAGTCAAACGGAGCTATCGATTTTACGAAGACATGTAAAATTAGTTTAGGAAGCGTTATATAGGCTTATGGCTCTAATACTGCGGACTTCTGAAATAAGAAGGGTAAGTCATAAACTAAGTTTTGGAATCTTAACCCGCTTAGGCTTATGGCTCTAATGCTGCAGACTTCTGACATAAGAAGGGTAAGTCATGAACTAAGTTTCAGAATCTTAACCCATTTAGACTTCTCTAAAATAAACTTTTGGACTTTCAGAAAGAGTTAAAACTCATAAAGACAAGTTTGAAGGCCTTATGAATTCATTAACTTTCAAACACGTAAGACAAGAGTTGATTTTACTGCTCGCACATTTCAAGAATAATTAGTTGTTTTAATCAACTTTTATAACCAGTATTTGAAAAATTATACTCAAATTCAAGAAACCTAAAGATACCAATTTGAAGTCCAGAGTAAGAAGTGAAAACGATTTGAGTTCTATTTTCAATTTTGAAGGTTACTCAGAGCAACCCAGTGTGAGATCCAATAAATTCTAACTAAACACCCTTAATTGCCTTTCTGGCCGATCCATGGATATGAACTCTTAAGAAAAACAGGTATTTTCCAATAATCCAACCTACGAACAATATATTGATCCCAAAATCATATCTAAGATATTTGAAACATAACAACACAGAAAACATTCAAAAGCTTTACCATAAAACATGCTATAACACACAATACATTGGGAGGAGGAGGAGGAGGAGGGGGGGGGGGGGGGTAAAGAGGGGGGGGGGGGGGGGGGGGTGTAAAAACAGGGTAGCAAACAAGAATCATCATTAAATTCAATTTGCCACACAAATTCATAGGTATCAAATTATAACAAGTTTTTGAACCTAAAACAGTAACATCTCATTAAGCAGAAACTGTAAAATTGACCAATATAGATTAGTTATCCATGAGGTTCCTTTATACTCATCCACTGACCACGAAATCTGAAGCTGAAGCCTGCCTATGCTTCCGGCGCCATTATGTTTCCTCACTCGGACCTGTTAGCGTACCTCTCGACCTTCTCATCATTTAGATTAATTCCAACCATTGCTTCCCCGAGCCCACAACTAACGTCAACCAGAACCTCCGGATCACTGTAGTGAGTGACGGCCTGGACAATGGCACGAGCCCTGCGGGCAGGATCCCCACTCTTGAACACTCCAGAACCCACAAAAACGCCATCACATCCCAGTTGCATCATGAGGGCGGCATCTGCAGGTGTGGCCACCCCGCCGGCTGCAAAATGCACCACTGGAAGCCTGCCAAGCTGCTTGGTCTGCATCACCAGATCATATGGCGCCTGGATCTTCTTCGCAAATGTGAACACCTCATCATCATCCATATTACGAAGGAGCCGAATATCTCCCATAACCGATCTCACATGACGCACCGCCTCAATAATATTCCCAGTACCCGCTTCCCCCTTGGTACGAATCATGGCAGCGCCCTCCCTGATACGGCGGAGGGCCTCCCCGAGGTTCCGGCAGCCACAAACAAAAGGGATTCTAAAGTTATGCTTGTTAATATGATTTTCATCATCAGCAGGGGTAAGCACCTCAGACTCATCAACATAATCAATCCCAATAGCCTCGAGAATCTGGGCCTCAACGAAATGCCCAATCCGGGCCTTCGCCATAACAGGAATAGTTACCGCCTGCTTAATTTCCTTAATCAGCTGTGGATCTGACATACGGGCCACGCCACCTTGTGCCCGAATATCCGCAGGTACACGCTCAAGTGCCATAACGGCGCATGCACCAGCCTCCTCCGCTATCCGGGCCTGCTCAGCATTGACAACGTCCATAATAACGCCGCCACGGAGCATCTGGGCAAGGCCCACTTTCACTGAGAATGGTGATTTCTTTGAGGTTTCAGTGATTGCGCCATTCCCGTAGACGGTTACGACTCCACTTTCGGCCATTTGTAAATCAATAAACTGAAAAAAGAGAATTTGGAGAGACAGAGACAGAGAGAAGATAAGAAGGGAGTGAAGATAGGAAAGGAGAGAAAGTAGGCGGTGAAGGAGAATGGGACTTCAGCGGCTGCCCCTATTTCATTTATCGAAGTTCTATTATTTTTCTTTTGGCTTCACAAGAGAAAATCGTTCAACGCCATGTATCCTTGGCCTTTTGAAAATCGTAAAAAAAAAAAAAATAAATAAATAAATAAAAATTCTATTTAAAACTTTTTATTCGAAATACCTATGCCATCAGGGCTCGTTAGTTTAACCATTAAAAATTAAAATTAAAATTAAAATTAAAATTAAAATTGAAACGAAATAATTGTAGTTATAGGACTCAAATTTTTTATCTTATATAAGTTATGCCCAATTTTCTTTATGTGTTATCCGTGATCTAAAACTTTTAAAATTTTATGTTCTACCCAGGCCACCTTATCCCACCCCACCCTACCCCACCTCCATTTTGTTGAGACACCTGCACTGATATTTTTAATCCTTTACAGTTAGAGAATTCTGATAACGGCTGTGCTACCTGCACAGGCTCTTTTGCATAAGGCCTGTGCAGGTGCACACACATGGACACAGGACTTGTGTAAGAGGCTTTTTCCTTTTGATAATCTTAGGATTGTGCTGGTTACAAAACTATTGACTACAGATAACTATTCAACTTGGTCACGAGCACTTTGAGCAGAGACACAAGCTCGGTTTCATCAACGGAGCAATACCTAAACCAGACAGTCTCAACCAAATGTTTGGCTCTTGGGAGCGATGCAACAACATAGTGGTGTCATGGATTCACAATGCCATGTCTTCATCTCTCAGATCTACTGTTGCTTTCATGGATGAAGCCAATTAAATCTGGTCAGAACTTAGAGATCGATTCTATTAGCAGAATACGTCTCGAATCTATGGACTAAAGAAAGCCTTAGGAAATATGGAACAAACAAAAGATTCAATGAGAATATATTATGGTAAGCTCAAAACTATCTCGGATGAATTATCAAATTATGAGCCTATTCCTAAATGTAGTAGAAAATTGAATGTGTTAGTTGATAGATATCAACGGGATGGGATTAAATGATAGTTAGGATAACACAAGGGCCCAGATTATGATGATGGAACCCATGCTACTGGTTAACAAGGTGTTGTCATATATTCGACAACAAGAAAGGCAAAAACAACTTGTCCTAAACAATGAAACTGTTGCAATGACTGTTAAGAAAAATATTGGGGGTCATAAGGTGTCTGCAGTGTCTGGTTATGGAAAGACATTTTCGAATGAAAAAAGAAAGATCCTATTGCACATACTGCAAGATCCTGAACGCACCATCGTAAACTGCTCTAAAGCAGGCAATGTCGATGCACCTATAATATGACTGGACACTCTAAAGAGGTGCTATAAGTTACAGTCATCCCCAAACCACAAATTGTAAAATTCGGGAAAGGGATAAGGAAGTTTTGCAAACCAAGCAGCCACAATGGAGGAAAATAGTGCAAACCAAGCAGACACAATGGAGGAAAATAGTGAGGAACAAGACTCTTTGACCAAGAGAAGATATCAAAAGCTCCTAGCTTTGCTTCAACACAAGGATGCTTCTCACTCTGCCAACCAAATTCAGACCATTAACCACTTCAAAATTGATTCTCAGTCTTCCATGTCTGCATACCCATTTGTCTATCTATTTTTCACACACACACACACACACACACTCATGAACCTTCAAATATTCCCTGGATTATTGGTACTGGTGCAACATATCCTATGATTTGTCACACCAGGTTCTTTACTTATATTAATTCAAAATCCTCATTTTCGGTAAAGTTTCAAATGGAGATGTAGTCCCTATCACACATACTGGTGTGGTTAAAGTCACTAATTAATTACTCCTAAAGTGTTCCTATATTTAACTTCAATTCATTATCAGCCAAGAAATTGGCACAACAACTTCAATGCTGTCTAATTTTTTTTTTTTTATCTAATGCATGCTACGTACAGAACCTTTTGTCTTGGAGAATGATTAATAATGGTAAAGTTTGGAGTCCTACATGAAAAAGTCTTTCCCAAGGCTCAAGAAACTGCTTTATCTGCGTTTACCTTTGAGCAACCTTCCTTAGGAGCATCTGTAATAAATTCTAACATTCAGTCACATTTGTGCCATTGTCGTTTCGATCATGTTTCTAATTCTAGATTGAAACTTATATCTGATCATTTTGTTACTTCTCAACACAGAAATACAAATTGTACTCCTTATCTTATTTGCGGATTAGCCAAGCAGCATAGGTCACCTTTTTTCTATTAGCACTAACAAAATTATAATCATCTTTGAACTCATCCACTGTAGTATTTGGAGTCCATGTCCTAGCATGGTTAATGATAGCTCCAAGTACTTCCTCTCGATGGTTGATGATTTTTCACGGACCACTGGGGTGTTTATGCTTAAGAGAACATCTGATGCAACTCATTGCATTAAGTCTTTTATCAATTTATTTAAAACTCAATTTCAAACGACGATGAAATTTTGAAAAGTGATAATGGTCCTGAATTCAATTTAAAAGTTTTTTTACTCTCTTAAAGGGATTATACGCTATAAAATTTGTGTTGAGACCCTTCAACAAAATGGAATTATTGAAAGGGAACACCAACATTTGTAAAATGTGGCTCAAGCTTTACGCTTTCAATCTGGTCTCTGTATTTTTATTGGGATGAATTCATACTTACAGCTACATACTTAGGCCCCATTTGTTTTCCATTCATGTAAAAATGAGAATGAAAAATATAGTCGTTACGGGCCCCACACAAGAGATAGAAATTCAAATATAGTAGTTTGATGTGATGGATAACGATCATACTTTTCATTTTAATGAAGAAAGAATAGGAAACAAACAGGGCTTTAATAAATAGAATTCCACACCTCTTTTACAAAATACAACACCTCGAGATTTTATTTCAGACCTAACCAATCTATTCACAATTTAGAATTTTTGGGTGTCTTTGCTTCGCATCCACCTTAGTCCACTGAAGAAAAAATTTGACCCTTGAACATGCAAATGCATTTTCTTAGTATACTCCTTTGGAGTTAACAGTTAATGACACGACCCGTCCCGACTCAACCTAATTGACTCGACACGTGTCGTGCCCCGATAGTAGATGCCAGCTAAATGCCGGACCCACCACCAAGGCAAACTTGACCTATTTTGACTGTGCTAATTTCTATGAAAATTTTGACAGAGTTTCCCCTGTAACATGGACAAAACCAACCTGAAAAATCATCAAAATCTCAAATAGACATTTAAACCAAAAGTTTTGGAAACCACCACTTCCTCTAATACCACCACAACTACTACAGAATATAACAAAATTCGACTGAGTGTTTCTACAACATCATCCTGTCAACATGCAGATATTACATCACTTACAAACCCTTCTACGAATATGCTTGTCACCCAAAATTAGACAATTACTTAATAAACATAAGTTCCCCAACTATTCGTTACATACTTATGAAACGGTCTCTTTTGCTTCAACAGACTTTCCCAAATATCTCAAAGTCGACCTTCTCCTGATAGGAAAACATGGTAAAAAGATATGAGTTTATAACTCAGTGAGTGGATAGTTGAAAATAAATAAATTTTTCCATTTATGTTATTTTCTGAAAATTCTTACACTATTTAACGTTAAGAACTTCTAAAAAAATAGTAACACTTTAAAAAAAAACTATACATGATCATATCATAATTTCTTGGACATAATTCTAGAAAGGCAACTGTATAACATATTGACTATAAATACTTTGATATCCATGAAAAATTATGAAATATTGCTGCCTTAATACTATAAGCTGAAAGCTTTATTCTGAAAACTGAATTAACTGAATTCCATAATCTGAAATCTGATAATAGAATAAATACTGAAAAATCACACCAAAAAGAGTACCCAATGAATAGCCTTACTCATGTACAGAGTAATTCGATGTACAAGGCAAAGCCATTCAAATCTGATAATCTGATAGCTGATAATCTGATAATCTGGTCATACGTACGCAGAGCTGCCCCAAAGGCTAATCACCGTAGTACACGGCCCAAAGCCTATGTGTGTACGAGAGTGGGTCCCAAAGACCTCTGATAATCTGGTCATACACTATGGAAACACATTCACAATAGTGCAGAGCTGGTAAAATCACTGTAACTAGTCATACACTGTGGAAACACATTCACATCAGTGCAGACTGGGATAAAATCACCTGAGTACTTTATGATGGTTTTAAAATAACTTTAGCTATACTGAAACATTTATATTCATATAACATGCTAGTCAAATGATTTAATTGAACTGAATTTAACTTTAAAAGTAATTGTTAATAAAATCTAATTTATTCTAAAAATCATGCTATGAAGTAAACTTTATACAATAAATAACTTTAAAATTTAATGAAGACTTATTACTGAAAAATAAGTTTTATCCACTCACAAGGTATAAGCTACAAGCCAGATAGGCTGATAGACGTTTCCAATCGCCTCGTTACCTCCTGAAATACGATAATGATAACCAATTTATCCACTATCAAATCGAGAAACCTTAATATCTAATAATAGAACTTAATTTAAATGCTCTTGGTACTTAAATAAATTCTCAAATTTTCCTTTATTAATTGGAGCTAATCACACCTTATAATCCCTTGGTTAATCACTAATTTATCAACATAACCATCATTTCAAATTTAAAACTAATTTTACTCTCCAATCTAATGAAACTAGTAACCACAATTCCACCCACATAATATACATTTGTTCCATAAAATCAATTCCCAAGTAAATATTTCATTTACATAATCACTTCACAGTTAATTAATTAAAATTCCCAAAATCGGATTCTAGGGTTTTCCCAAAAATTTGACATCTCCATACCTTGCTGAAAATTTGAAATGAATAAATCGCCACACTTGAGCTCCAATTCGTGCAAATATCCCTAAAATTCGACATATTATTCAACAAGTTAAAACCCTAAAAATTTTAACATAATTCATACTTTATCACCTAAAACAAATGGAAAATTTCAACCCAACTTGAAGATATCAACCTTACCTCCTTTCCTCTTCTTTTTCCCTTCTTCTTTTCCTTT